TGTCAAATGTCGACCTTTTAGTCTGACCTGCACCTCCTGAGTAGAATAATTACAAACTATTTGGGGAATTTCAGTAATGCAGAGCATAAAAGTAATGCTCATCAGTGTGGCACTGTGAACAAGAGCTTTAGATTAAAATGAATTCCATTTCCTCAAAACCAATCTGTAGTTTCAGTTAGCAGAAAGCATCAGTTTTGAGTTGCTCTTGTAATCCCCTGAAGCTGTGGTTTCAGAACGTCACCACTCTGCCAAGTACTCTGCAAGCACAAGGCTTCTGAGGAATTTTAGGTCTCAGTGCTGAGGTAATATAGTCCCACCCCTGGTTTTATTTTTTTTATTGCTAAGTATCCCAATGGAGGAGACAAAAAAAAAAAAAGTTCTACATCATACTAAAATACATGAATCCTGTCCTGGGGATAAAATACCAGGTGCCAAGGTGAAATGCTTTTTTTTTCTGGTGGAGAATTGTACAGAAGAAGCTCTGCTGGACAGAAGCCTGGCAAATCAAACAGAAATGAGGAGTAGTTTCAACTGTCGATGAGGTTCATTGTTAAAATAACTGTAAAGAGGAAATAGAATCTATGTTTGATGTTATGTACCCATTAAAATGATCCTGTCCTGGAAGACACACATTAGCAGGTTGTGATTTTGGGCCTACTGCATTGAGAACTTCTGTGAAATGTAACTGTCTGTAGGACAAGATGATTCCAGTAGTCTTGTCTGGCTTTAGAACACTATGTACCATGAATCATTAAGGATGACACTTCATCTCACTGAAACTGGTTTGTTTTGTTTTGTTGATTTATTTTTTTTTAGGAGTTTATTTTGAGAAGGTCTTAAAGAGTTCAGATACTTCCTTGTGGGTGAGGAATATTCAGATGTACTTATCCGGGATTGTGGTGACTTTATTTGGTGTGTACATGTCAGACGGAGCCCAAGTTCTTGAGAAAGGGTTTTTCTATGGCTACACATACTACGTCTGGTTTGTCATCTGTAAGTATCTTCTGGTTTTAGGGTCTTGTTACATTGGTTGGCTTTTTTAACTATAATGGCATGAAGCTACAAATTCAGTCTGACCCACTGTTCTTTACTGTGTTTTGAGGTTTTTTTAGAAGTATCATTATCTTGGAAATTATTCACATGCTCAATTTAAAATTGTGCTGAAACAGCAGTCCCAATAACTGAGTAGTGAGCAGATCGTCTTTAAATGCGTTGTATCTGATCTACTGGATGCCGTGTAGACATCCCACTTTGCTGACTGCTGCATTAAATCACCAACTAGGATGACGTAGCCCAAACAAGGAGTACACCAGTGGAGTAAAATGCATCATTTCGGGAATAACCTGCTGCACCTTTACTAACACAAACATGTCACCTGTTTTCCAGTTCTCGCCAGCGTAGGTGGCCTCTACACTTCCGTGGTTGTGAAGTACACCGATAACATTATGAAAGGCTTCTCTGCAGCCGCAGCCATTGTTCTTTCTACTGTGGCATCAGTCATCCTCTTTGGCCTCCAGATAAGTAAGTGCCTTTTGGCCTTGGCTTTGACTGTACGTGCGTGTTTCCTTCCTGGCTAGCAGGCTGTCCGCAAGTTCCTACCAGAGCAACCATTTGTGCCTCCTTTGAATTCTTCTGGTTTTGACTTGGCCTTCTCCAGGACTCCTGTGCACTAACGCATCGTCCCTGTTGTGTTACGCACGGTGCCCGATGACCCTGTGCTTTCAAAGCCACTCACAGTTTGTTCTGTCAGAGGCATCCCACACCTCAAATGGAAAGGTTCTCTCTGGTTTAAATAGCTTATGAATTTATACAGTTTCCTTCGCGAGTCACTGTCTGATGCAGTTTGGTGTGTGATACAGCTGTTTACCTGAGACTGCTCTTGAGAAGTTACCATTTCTTGTTGGTTTTAGTACAGCCAGTGCCAAGGTAATTCCTCAGCTGTTTCTGCAAGGGCTTTGCCAAATCCCTGTTAGGTTAAACCTGCTACTGCAGTCACTTTTGCCTTCCCGTTTGCTGTGGCCAACACCACATGGGAGCGAGTCAGGCAGCAGCTGGGGTCATGACTGATGTGCTGAATTAATTTTTTTAGAGGAAACAGCAGGTTGCTTTGGGCTGTCCTGCAGCTGCAGAGGATTTTCCCTCTGATCAGTTTTCTGTCTGATACTGTACCCAGTAGCTCCTGCTCACTCCTTTGCTGTTCAGGTTTGGGTATTTTTTTCTTTTCTACCGTAATCCAGAGCTGGTATGGTGTGATGGTGGAAAAAACAGCTTCTGAGGTGGCACTAGTGAGGTGAAACTTAAGGAAGGTTTGCGTAAGGAGAAAATCATCCGTGTTTGCCTGAAAAAGAGCATTTTAAAGGAAGTGATGACAAACACAAGCAGTTTAAAAACTCACTTGGGTGTCTAAAACCAGAACATTTTCTTGATGCTTGGCACAAATCAAGCCAAGGTGATCTTTCTGTGCAAGCCTCATTAATAGTGTTTCTTAACCCTGTCTAGAAGTGGAAAGGCAAACGAAGTGTGTTATCGCAGGCTACTTCATCCCATCCACCGTGTCTATTGTTTATTGTAAAGTAAGCCTGTCAGGGGGCATCTGGAACTACAGGTGTCTCGTGCTTGCTTTTCTGACATCACCACGTTCTGGCTGATATGGGACAAACTGAAATGGTGTGGGGATTGTAAACGCTCAAGAGTTCTCAGGGACAGAGGATACCTGTAGATTCTGTGAATTATTAACAGCTTGTTTTTGTGTTTGGTTTTGAATAACTTTATTACCGTCATTCAGATATCACCGTGACTTACACAGCTTGGGCTTCTGAAGGTTTCTTCCTCACAGGGAGGTATTTAAATAAACTATTTTTCTCTCCTTTCAGCTGTTACCTTCTCCCTGGGTGCTCTCCTGGTCTGTATTTCTATTTACCTCTATGGATTACCTCGACAAGACACCACAAAAATCCAGCCATCAGAGACAACAAGCTCAAAAGAGAGACTTGCTCCTGTGTGACATTGTCCATAAAAATGGACAGACAAGAGAAAAAATGGACTTTAAAAAAAAAAAACCTGCATTTTTTAAAAATTAGCCTTAAGCTAGTCATGAAATGGTTAAAGTGGGATAGACTAAAAGCAGAAGTTAGTTCTGTTTTACATGTGAAGTTCCCAGTGGCTGGTGCTGAGGCGACGTCACGGCCGAGGAGCTGGACGGGTGTTTTACTGAAGGTATTCTTCATTCACATCAGACAATGAAGAGCCCCGTTTACAAGGAAAGCAGAATGAAGGAACTGAACACACAACTGTATATAATGTATATAATGAGGGAAATTGGTTCTTTGTGTATTTGATAAACTGTCTTGTCCTTTGAGCACAGAAGTGCCCAAAAGCTTCATAAAAATATATTAAAAAGAGCAAATACTGCCAGCATTTTCTCTTAAACTAGTTTGCAGTTGGTTTGATTAACACCAGGAAAGGTTTCTCTTCCAGGTCATACATATGAGATGAACAGAGTACTTTTCCAGTGCTTTTATGATTAATTAATAGTATTTTTTTTCCTCTCCATGCAATCAAGTCTCACATGTCCTGACACCACAACACCAGGAGTAACCATGCTTCAAATGTCACATCACCTGGAAGTGATGAGAAGCAGCACTTGGCTTTTTGGTTTAAAAAGTCAGGAAGAAAGACTGGTGTTTTTCTTAAGCTGCAGATTTTATTTCACTTTTCAAATGCTTTTTATACCTGCTCTAACTGGTAGAGGGATTTTCTAGTCTGTGTGTTTTGTCAAACACCAGTTGTATGGGGGAAGGTTCCTGTGTTGTCTTGTATCTCTGGCTTAAGTATGAATGAGTCAACTCAAGGCATCAGATTAGATTTTTATCTGTACAGTTCCTCTTTAAAACTTTTTGTGCATAAGAGAGTGATGTTTGAAAAGAGTTCCTGTAATGCATGTTAGGCTTTGATTTAATTTATGAGTGCCAACTCTAGTATTTCAACCTCCTCCCTTATTTCCCGAGGCCTCACTCAGTTTAACCCTTCTGAAAACAGAAACTCTGCATGGAGGGAAAACTGAATTCGGAGCTTTGGGCAACTTGTTTACATTCAAAGTGGAGTAAAAAAATGTGGCTGAGTTTATATCCTGGTTTGATTCCTTCAGACATGAATTAACCAGCTGGGCTTTCCCTGAAAGGGGCATGTTAAAAGAGCAGTAACAAACATGCTTAATTCTGTTCCAGTGGAAGAGGATGCTCCACTCTGCCTTTTGCCAACTGTTCTGTGCATTTAAACAGCGCGTCACCATGCTGCTGCTCTGGTGGGTCAAGGCTTTGGTGGTGGTGAGTAGTGTCAGGCACTTCAGAGGCTGGAGCAGCCACCCGCTATCTTACAGGTGACACTCCACCTCTCTTCAGCAGTGTGGTGGCTCAGGGGGGCCAGGCAGCACCTGCCAGGTCTGACTGTGTGCACAATGCTGAGGGAGCACCGTAGTTCCTGTTCCACCAGCTGGGCAGCAAACCCTCTTCTCCCTGGTCATTGCGTTGGTGTGACATAGGAATGGGTGAGGAACAGGATGTGACAGTTGGTCTTGGCTCGTGGGAGTGAAGTACAACACACAGGAAAAAAATGCTCTGGCATGGTCTGACTGTTACAGGGTGTAGAACACCTGTAGCTGTGGTACCATCAAGCCTCGGTACACAATGGGAGAACTTTGATCACTTAGGACAACACAGTTAATACCACTTCCTCTACCAAAAGGATGTTATATGTACAAAGGTAAATACAGAGCAGTTCACTTTTATGGGAAATGGCAGGTAGGCTCATGTCTTAAGTACACAACCTCCTACCAAGTGCCTGGGAGAAGGCAATTGTGACAGCCCTGGCCTCCCCGCAGTGGTTGTGCCATGCAGGCTCACCTGCAGTGGGCATGATGGAGCATAGAGACCTCCAAGAGCTGATAGGGAGGTTCCACACTGCATTAGCAATAACACACAGGGGAGTATTTATATTCTCTTGAAAAAAATCCCTTTACCAAGAGATGTGACTTTACATTGCACGCAGCCTCGTTACATTTGAGTTACAGGTGTGATGCCAAGAAGTTTCATTCCGTTGGCCAGAACCGAGCGTGCAGCTTGGAAGAGACAGAGCCTTGCCTGGAAAACAAGAAGGGCTTACGGTCAGCTTCGGGTGTTGCAAGGGAACAAGGCATACTTCTTGGGACAGCAGTTAGGAGCAGTCTCCTGTCACCCAGCCTCAGTCAGAGGTGAGAACACCGCGTGTCCTCTGTCCCCAGGCAGGGTGCTGGGACCGACACACGCATAATCCGAGTAACACACACCCCCATGGTGGCAGAATTCCCACCAGCTGTTTGATAGCCCAGAACAGCATCAGCAGAGGGACACTTGTGTCCAGGAAGGGAAGCTGCAAAGTGGTGCCCAGCCCAGTCTAGTATCCTCAGGGCAAAGCAACCAGAGGTGATGTGATGCCTGCAAAAGAGCTGGCAGTGACTAAGAAGTGAAAACGTCTTCCATGCACCACAGGCTGTTGCAGCCTGAGGATACTGCTGGAATTTCTCCTCTCACTGTGCCTGGGTTAGAGGCTGTCCAGCAACTATGGGCTGCTTTGAAAATTTCACTCTTCCTTGTCAATGTCTCAGCTGTCACACAGCTGGCTGTTCAGGAGGGGCTCTATCAGCCTTACTCCAAAATAGTTCTTGGAAGCTGTCACAGTGTAAGATATTTAGAAATATTTTTTTACAGGATAAGGAACTGAAATTTTTCCCTGTAGGTTGGACTATCATCTTAGGTGTTCTTCCCAAGAATGCATGGAACCACCTTCAAAGGCAGGAATAGCTATAGCATCAGAGCTCAACTAGAGAGTGCAGCTCCATCAATTCCACTGAAATTTTTTCCCCCACAACACAGTTCAATACTTAAATTTGATTTTTGACCAAAATCACATAGGTAACTGAATTTGAAAAAGATAAAAGAGGAAATAAAAAAGGCAGTATAATTAGTATGTCATTTACTGAGCAGTTAAGGGGTCAAACATTGCCTGGGAGATCAGTAGAAAATAATTTGCATCTATTTGGAACTGCGCATTACCAGTTGTCAGCCTCAGTGCCTCAGCTAGAGAGGCAGTATGGACAACTTGGGATATGTAGGTGGCAAGAAGGAGAGAGATTCAGTGATCTCCTAATTCTCTATCTTCCTTCCCACATAAGCCACTAAAGGAAACCATCAGAAATTAACCAGCGAGTTAAATGTTGAAAATGTTTGCTTTTAAAAAGTTCAGAAGGAAAGGTGATGAGAAGGAAAGGGGTTTGATTAGGTTTGGAGCAGGTGTCCTTATGGAACATTCTGTTTCGGAAAGATGAGGCAGAGCAGCCCTTTCCTGAAGGCAGAGCCAGGAACAGCAGCCCCTGGCACCCCGAAGCGGTGCTGCCCCCGGACAGCCTGCCAGGTTGGCTCATGGGCCCGCAGGTGCATATTCACCCCCCGGGTTACACAGCTGGGCTGGCAAAGCCCTGGGGATCATTCCTCCAGGACACCCTACACAGACTGCAGCCACGTAACAACCCTGTCCCCCATACCTGGGCTACTTCAGGGGCGCTGCCTTTCACAGGAAGAGTTTTATGTGCCACAGCTGCAAGATGGCTGAAAGGGAAAACAGAAAGGTGAGAACGAGCAGGTCTCTTGACAAGAGCAGTGCTCGGGGCTACAGAAAGCAGCAGAACTGGAAGAGCCACACCTGCAGCATGCCACAGACTTTGCTCCAACAGCCTCTCTCACCTGGCTGAGGGAGGGCATGGTTTTCTGTAGCCTGCATGTTGTCAGGGCATGCCATCAATCAACAATTTCATGCTTGTAAAAAAAACCCCAAAACCTCAAAAAACCCAAACCAAAACAACCCAAAGAATTTCTCCACTCCACCCCCCAAAAAAGCCCAAAACTGGCCTGGAAAGATCCTTGAGAGCCTGCCCTGTCATTCCCAAGGTGCAAGATTCTTTATACCATTTTCCCTAACTTGTTAAAGCTGTCCCCATAAACAGGCTCTACAGCTTCCTCAGGCAAGCCTACTCCAGTGTTTCACTGTCCTGTTGAATCAGACAGGTCCCTACAGAGACCCTCCCTGTGGAGGTCCCATATGCAATATGACTTTCAGTTATAATATGGTTTGTCCATCTCAACACCTAGGCTGAGATCAGTGGTTAAAAGAGGTTTGGACAAAATTTCCTAGCTGAAATTTTGAGATTTGAGAGCATATTATCCGCTCAGATCTGCTCTTTAAGATACACTTTGTCCAGCACGATTTTGGGTTCAGACACCAGACTGCAGCTAAGTGATTCTTTTTTCTTGAAAGCAGTTATGCTTTCTGAGGAGGCTGCGTTGTTCCTGGTTCCAACCTCCATCTCTACTATTTATTATATTACTTGCTATCCTACTTTATACCTTTCCTGCTCCAGAGAGACTGTCCCACAAATTTACATCTTCCCACTATTTTGACTCTTCAAAGCAGTGCAGATGTGAGGGCTGCAGAGCCAGCTCAGGAAGACCTGTCCTAACTGGAGATGGATGCCAGTATCAGCAATCACCTTACCTAAGTGTGAGGAGGTAGCTGACAATGTGCTTGGGTTGCAGATCCTGAGAAGATCTATAGAGGACCTCATCATACCTGTGAAGAAAGAAAAGGATTGTGTGGTGTTAAAGTGGTAGGAAGGCATAACTCAGATATAAGGCTCATCAGACTTGCTTAAGTCAGAACAAACACACAACCACAACTACAGAATTAACAAAAATAATCTTCTGAACCAGACCCAAGCCATGTAATTAGTACACAACTGATTATTTCTTCCTCGTTCACTTATTACTGAAGGAGATGATTGCTTCTGCTCCTCATCACGCAAACGCTGTAGGTGGCAGAGCTCAGAGAGGCAGGCTATAGCAAAGAGAACACAAGAGCTATATTTGCTCCTGGAACATTATGTCTGGTTTTACATTTCAACACTAATTGCAAGTTCCTAGGAGCAAAAAACATGTATTAAATAACCAAGGCAGTCAAGAGTCCCTTAGAGGATGCTGCCTTTAGTAAACGCAGCTTACAGTTTTAAGTAGCTAAAGGGAATCTTGCAGCATTAGGAAAGGCAAAACCAAAGTGCATTTACATAATCCAGGAATAAAATCGAGATGTTTCATACAAATTCTGTATGGTGCTTGGTCAGACTCAAAGGCCTTTGCAAAAAGCAGACCTGAAGCTCTATTAAAATGAGAGCTCTGCAGTGGAGCAACAATCTCTGTTTGAAAATGGACACGTCTGGGCTGCAGTGATCCCTGCAAATCAACCCGAAATACATCAACCCTCTCAGCTTTTCCACAGCAGATGGGCAGCTATACACTAACCTGGTAAAACCAAGAAACGACCCACGAGGTTTCTGTGAACTGCAATTGCACTGGATCAGTAAGGTACTACTGGTCCTGTTTAGAGCGCTGGCTGGTGGTGCTGTTCCTCAGGAGAGCATGCAGCATATGACAAACTGCAGGCAGACCTCTTGAGGCAATGACAGTTAATGGTAGGGCACCACAACCTACAGCTGCAGGCTGAAGAAGTCACTTGGGACTCCGACATGACTTCTGGAAGTCCAAATTTTAAACAGATGCCCTCAAGAAGCCCTTAGTGTGGCCGAAGAAGTTAACTCCCTGGCACTGCACAACGTGGTATACAGGAACTCTCACTGGGAATTCTGAAAGCCTCAGTTACTTCCAATTCCATCACAGGTTGCACAACATGCACAACTCTGTCTCTGTATTTTAATTACACACCTATGAAATAATGAAAACAGAAACTGCTCAACCTTAAGACCGAATTAATGAAGAATATTACTGCTATTAACAGGAATTAGTTGTGCATGTTCAGTAGCTCTGAAGGACACTGAGCTACCAAATGTGCATGCACATTTCACCTCACCCAGAAGTACCTCCTCTCCCCTTTCCCACATGACAAAAACAGAACAAGAGAGACCAAGCAAATCTGCAGCTAGTATTTATACAGAACTTAGCATATTTTGGAGAGGACAAGAAATAACTAAGAGGCTCATGTACACAAAGTATGTTCCAAATACTGCTTTTTCCCCTCATATGGCTCCTAAAGTCCAAGAAGACTTCAAGTGAGGGCTACTCTTGCAATCAGCATGACCCAACAGACAAGCCATTGCCTGAAATACCCATTTTTCCTATGACTGTGCAGTCTGTGCCTGCTTAACAGGCTGGAGCAAATCCTGAGGTTTATTTTAAGGGAACTGGTATTTGGAAAGAAAACGAGACAAACCTGAGAAGATGCTGAAGAACAGAGATGGCATCTGGCTCTTGCAAGCACGCCACATTAACATCAGTTAGCTGCTCATTCCTATGCATCTGTTCTAAACTAAATGAGAATGAAAAACAAATGTTGGATGAAAAACTCTTGTTAGCACAGCAGAACAAGAAAAACAGTAATTTGTGTTTTTAAGAAAAAAGGGTAAGCACCTTCTGCCCAAGCTGAATGAAACACTGAGACAGACTAGCTGACTTCAATCCAAGATGAAAAATAATTAAAATTTGTGCTGGCCATTCCCTATCAACAGGATCAGAGATATGCACGGACAACAGGTCCAGAAGCTGATGCTAGAAGGATTAGGGGTGTAGTCAATACCCTGGTAACAGTACCCTAGTACCATCAGTACCTAAATGGTAAGGGAGTACCAGAGGAGTACACTACAGAAAGGGACCAGGCTTCATGTTCTCCCTGAATACCCCCTCCTATTAGCACTGCCTCAGACAGAACAGCAGGTTGGTGCAGACCTTTGGCCTGATCCAGGAAGTTATCTTACATGCGTTTATGAAAATACATACCCATGTCTGCATTAAAAATGCTCTGACTGATCAGTAATGTTCAAACTAGACTCTTCTGAAATTCTTTTAAAAAAAATAATTAAACATGTTGAGTGTTTGACCTGAGTCAACTGGAACAGTTGCCAACAGTAGGAAATAACAGAATGTTAGAAAGACCCTGGCTACCGTGGTAGCAAAAAACATCAAAGTCAGTCCTGAGATTTGGTATATTTTACAAGTACAGGCTTTTTGGTTTTTACACCAGTTTCCTTAATCCTAAGGCCACCATTACTGACACCAATCACACAGAGAGGCTGTTTCTAGAACTGAGAAGGTACATGGACAGTTAGCTCAGCCCTGTGGAAAGGAGGTGGAAATTCCATTTTAATTGGCTTGCTGTTCTGGGAAGTCTCAGCGATTCCTGTCATAAACTCACACCTCTGCTGAAAAGGTGAACATGTGTCACATTTAGGGAAGAAGTTAACACTACTACTTAACAAAGCAGTAAGTTAATAAGGTTAAAATACATGTTGAACTGTACTTCTGCATACAAACGCTCCTCTTACCTATGGAGTCTGGCATGAGTGTACTGCAAGAAAACGCCTGTATCTCCACGACTTTGAAGAGCTCGATCCCAGCTAAACTGATAATCAGATGACAGAAGGCCCCGGAAGTCCTGGAACAATAAATTAATGTCACCTAGATATGGCTCTCCATCTCAATTTTTAACTTTTCACAGAAGATCCATACACCCTGGGACGCAGCTCAGACTCACCTGAATTATTAGTGCCGCAAGACCAACTTTCTCTGCTGTCTCCACAGGGTCTTCTATCTCTTTGGTTGCTGAAGACAAATGGAGAAAAAGACACTAAGTCCATAGCAGCGTAACGATTCCCTTGCTCGGACTTGGAGATGCCAATAAAACAGCATCTTCTAAAACCGTGAACTAGGAATATGGAAATTGTCAGGATGCAAACAGCAAGCAGTCCAGGCTACGAATCTTTCTTAGAAGTTGAGATGGGCTGTTTAGATGGGCTTTTTTCCCCACGTCCCCTAGTATGTGTAATGCAGATTTTAAGGTCAGAAGAATCATAGAATGGTTTGGATTGGAA